GAACATTTACTCATCTAACACTTTGTGAGCACTTTGTTGATCACTTAACATGCTGGAAAAATTACAAAGGTCTTCAAGCATTCTGACCTTTTGTACCTTTCAATGTTCTGTAGTAATGGGAAGACAAAAACTTTTCCTAAGCTGTTTCAATAGCTACTTATCTTCACCTTAAACAAGTCACAGAAATAATGACAATTTTTATCTAATTTAAGTGTAACATAGGATCTTATTGTATCTTTGCCTGCTACATGGAAGAACCTTCTGTTACCACACAGGTACATAGATACTGAACAAATCACTACCAAATCCACCATTTGATAGTGTTAATACATTAATAGCCATGAGTTTTTCACTATGAGATTTGGATTTGATGGTCCTTCTCTGAAGCTTCTGCAGTGTTTCTTACATCACCCACCCTGCTGGGACTGTGGACCTACCAATTCAATTCCCTGTAGATCTTACTGAAGTACCTAATGTCTCTACTTAGCTCTTTAAGCTGCAGCATCTCTTTCTGCTGTCCTATCCATCCATCCTAACATTTGCTGGAACAGTCAAATCCTCTTCAGAGTCACTGCTCTTCCCAGCATGTACAGATCGACAACATCACTTAGAAGCACGGCTTACATTTGGCTACATTATTCACTGAGCAAACTGTTGCTCATGCTCTTTATAGACCACTACTCTCCCAGTCTGCATGTTATCAGGAAACTCTGCAATGCTAATTCACGTTTTCTTCCAGATCATTACCAAAAATACCCCAAATTACTTTATCTGTGTACTTTTTATAAATCTCTATGAGTTTGCCTCAATGCTTTTGAGGGAACTCAGCTTGCAATGTTGAACTGAAACACAAAAGTAGTCACTGTCCTCCACAGAGAGAAGAAACAAGAACAACTTAAAACCATGTGGATATTCCCACCACATTAACCTAGGCATGAAACTTAGGTCACCTTAAGAAGATGCTTCTTTCTCTCAACCAACTATTAAAAGACTACTCTTTCAATTCAACCATGTGAATTACAAGACGTGTGTACTTGCTACTTGCCTCTTGTCAAACGTACCACATCCTTGGATGGTGTACACTGCCACAGTGATATGAACTTGAGCGTTCAGGAGATTTGCTGAGTTACAACACATAAATCCTGTCTAGGTCTAAGACCTTCATTTAAAATTTTCAGCAAATCGTGGATTCCTACAATGCCTTATGTGACATATCTGATAAGAACCATACCCACCCCTTTTTCTACAGTGCTTGTAATCCCACTTGGCCTTTTGTACTGATAACTGAGATACATACCTAATCTACATGCCAGGTAATTTTTTGAAATCTGAAAACAATAGGCATGGATTTCCAACAGTTCTTCTGATTTATCTGTTGAAGAAGCTATTTTCTCAACAGAAAAAGAATGAAAATGCCATAAGAGTGTGAGCATTAATTTGGATTTACAGCAAAGAAATGTTGAAATTGCAAGGATTATGAATTAAGTGCATGCTGAAATGAGCAGTGTATCTATTTTTAAGGGTCCCAATCTTTTAAGTTTGATGTGAGATTTTTTTTTATAGTGACATCATAGGAAAGTTGAAAGTGCATATTAATAAAAATCATCTAAGAAAAGGCAAGAGTAAAATTAGTAATGGTGATCTGAATCCTTGAAGAGCTATGATGTTGAGATCTATTAGCATTTCTTGAAAGTTCACGGCAACAACTTCCTTGCAACTGTTTTTTATTATCTCCAGTTTATGATTATATACCTTAATCACTCAACTGCCTCTTTTTTGAGCTCATGTAGGTGATATAAGCTATGACCTTCTCCCCCATCAGAGGAGACGGCACAGCCAGACAGTGCTCCAATAGAAACAAAAGTAAAACCACATTCACAGAAAGCAAGAATCAAAACTAAAAGCTTATTGAGCAAAATGAGCTCCTTGAAGGGACACAATGAAACAACAACCCTCCTCCAAATCAAACCATGGAAAATAACAGATTTAAAAAAAGAGAAATGACCAGATCCTCAGGTAGTGTAAATCCCTGCAACTCTACTGCCTTCAGCAGAGTCTGCTGACTCTCACTAGTTGAGGAGAGGCCTAGAGATTTTAATTTTACTTTGTTGGGCATTAATTATTGCCAATGTGATTAACAATGATTAACTTCCTTGTTGCCATTGATCTTTATACAATCTTTTTTTTTTTCCTTTTCCATATTTTTGATTACCTTGCTTTCATCCAGGCAATACTTGCAGTGAATTTTTAAATGTGTGCTTTAAGAATATGGAAATAATAAATAAATTTGATATGCTAATTGCTGTAGTGATTGTTATGTACTGCTTTAGAAAGAAGCTAAATTAGGCATATACAGGTTTTAAACAGTAAATGACAATGCTTTCCTGTATATTTCTAATAGGTAATTGCTTGATGACTCTTCAACTAGGGCCCTTAGAAATGACATATTTCCTCCAAAAAAAGGACAGTATGTCTATTCTAAGATAGTTTTAAGTGTAACGGCACATTTCGAGGCATGCTCAGCTATACAGCCAATGACAACCTTACGGAGATACCCCTTATTAGCTTTGACAGAATGCTAATAAATCACCAGCCTGGAGAGTACTCCCGGGGAGGCCTGGCTCCTTACCTTTGACATGGGGGATGAAGTGGTGTCGGAAGGGGGAGTTGGGGCGGGAGTCATGGTGAGTGGAGCTGAGACTGCTAGTGCGCAGGTATGACAACCGCTGCACACCAGTAGAGAGCAGCTCTGCAGCAGCAGGGAATCGGGGGGCAGAACAAAATGAAAACAAAGAAAAACAATAAGAGAAAGGCAGGGAAGGAGGCTTCAAAGGAAGAAAAAAAAAGGCATTGAACAATTAGGATTCTGAAAAGAAGGAAGGAGAAAAAAAAAAGGTTAAAGACGTACCGAAGGGTTCATAAATGTTAGACAAAATTACAGGAAGTATTAGAAGAGGCTCAGATTTGAACTGCATCACTAATTTAGCATAACATTTTTTGGTTTAACGAGCTTCTGATCTACGTCTTGTTACCAAAAAGTAGCCTGCTACAGCATGCAAACATCGCAAACATTGACGTTCAGTTAGTTAAGAAAGCAGCTGTTTTGAAAAGTGCCTGACCAAAAAATGTCAGTCAAGAGGCATGCAAGCTGTTTTCTATTGTTTTAAGATATTCCAAAAACGCTGCCAACACCAGCTAGGGCACTGCGGGAGGAAAAGGCTGCAAACTTTTTCAAAACTGGTAGCACTTAAATTTTTGAAGAACCTTACGCTGACATCAACACAGTGGTTCACTTCTCTCTCAAGGGCTAGCTGTGAGCCAAAGAGAAGTTATCTGAGGCCACTGGGTTTATTTAGAGAGAAATTATTCTTGCAAATAACATGATGATAAGAAGTGCCATTAGGAGAAAAATGGTAAATATACATGTGCTATTATTCAACATGAATAATTACTGTAGGAAAATTATAAAGTAGCATTAACAATTACCCCAAAACAGGGTAGCAGAGATCAAAATGGTGAATTCTACAGAATTACTTCTGTGTCATATGTGAAACACAAACAGGTGAGCCAAAGATGAGATCATCTGAAGAGAGATAAGTTTGAACAAAAAAATCCCTCAGGCTGCGAACTTTTGAAGATTTTACATTTGGATTCAAACTCTGGCTTGAGCCCATCCGCCCATCACAAGAATTACATAAACAGAGACTGCTTCTGGGGAAGGTCTTCGATGGAACACAGACAGTAAAACTCAACCACAGTAAAGTCTGGAACAGGGCCTGAGTTTGTTCATATCCCTAATACAACTGATACAAACGGAAAAATCCCCTCAGAATTGCCAGAATCAAGAGATAGAAGTTTGCAGCTTTTTCACGCTTTTAAGTCTCTTTCGGTTTCAGTTGTAACTTCATCTTAAAACACGGTCATGTTGTCAACACCAAGTATCAAACACAATTTGCTTCTGTCCCACCTCCCTTGGGTCCTTTAAAGAAGGCATTCACTGACAGACACAATTAGCTGCTTTCAGCCCACCCCCACTAGGAAATGGCTACAGCATTCAAGTTCCACAGTGCTGGCTCTATTATAAATCTTTAATTTTAAAAATGCAGCTCTTATTGTATATGGGCTTTTGGCATCCCAACTGTTCAGCTGTAATCATTGAGGAAGATGAAACTGCACGAGTGTATCACTTAATTTAAAATACAGATCACAAAGATTTAATTCATTACCATAAACAGTAAAATCAGTCTTGAAAAGTCTTCAATGAATAGCATTTAAAGATACATTTTTATGCAATTTGAGTGTGGATGAACAGTTCATTTTCATATCTTGCTTTTATATAGACAACCAGTAATTTTGAATGCTTTGGGAACCTGAATGACCTGTACGTTTTCTATATTGTACATAGAACTTGTACTTCACTGCTAAACCAGTAAATGAAGTTTGTGTTTTTCAAATGTTCCCAGGCAATTGCCTATGGCTTTAGTTAAGAAATCTACCTTGTGAACCATGAGTCTATGTTTTAAAAAATGCCTAGCAATTTGGCATATCTGGGGGTTTTGCTGCTGAATCTGCACCAAGCTTTAAATGAATTGTTTCCTAGGAGGGAAGAATCCTACACTACTGACTTCTGTATAGTCAAGCTGTAACTTTTGTTTCCAATATGTGATACTTTTCCCAAATTCCAGAATGAGTTTTGTGATTCACTGCTGCAAATTTTTGCTTGCTTTCAGAAATACAAAAAGATTTAAAAAATAATTAAACAGAAACAAAACCAGAATATTCATATTTATGATGTAAGCAACATTTACCAGCCTAGTGTAAAAGACTGCATCAATCAAGAACAAAAAAAAAAAACAGGTAGAAAAGAAGATATTAAAATACGCAACAATTTTTCAATTCTAAATTTCACTGATAAGAGAAACAAGTGCTTCTCTGTGCCACTAAGTGACACAATAAAGAAACAATAGTTTTACATATACTTCTAATGCAGTTGCCCTTACCAGGTCTGTGGAAATGCTGAGGGGAACGTGACATGGTGGGTGTGTAGCTATGACGACTGTACACTGGAGAATTAATGGAGCCCTGACTAGTAGACCTGTGAATCATGCGATCCCGAACATCTTGATAACCCTGCAGAACAGAAGCATTCACTAATAAATGTAAATGCACATTACACATTTTTAGCAGTACTTAACTTTCATGGATCTGAAATAACAATATCCTTTAAGCTTTCAACCTACTTCATTATTACTTTCTCCAATGATCTCTTCCAAAGACTCCGACCCATTTTAATAGTCTGGATCACAGTTCAGTCTCGGAAGGTTCCAACTCCACCTGTAATCTCTACTCAATTCTATACAACCCTAGATTTGACCACATTCCTGTGACTCCATAAGGGAAGCTGCATTCAGAGTGTCTTTGTCCTGCAGGATACTGCACAAGATACATGAGCTAGCCTTCAGCTAGCTAACTTGGAGACCAGTAAGAATTCAATAGCTGCAGCACAGAGCTCTCTGGCTTAATTTACCATGTGTCTTGACTAGCTACATCAAAACGTATTTAGTATCCAAATTAGATTCCCCTTGTATCTGAAAACACAACACCTTCTTGTATAGCAAAATTCAATTTACTTGGTTTCTTGCGGAAAAAAAGCCAATAAAAACCAAATAAAAAAACCCCAAACAAATCCGCCCCCACCTCCCAAACCCCAAGAAGCAAACCAAACGAGGACAAAAGCGACAGGATTGATGTTAATGTGTGAAGATTTTACAAGAAATTTTATAGTCACTTTTTTAGCCCGTACCAATCACCACAACTTCTATGTTGCGAATAAGTAACACTCCCCACCCCCAAAATGATAACGATTCTGCAATTGCATCTTTGTATCCTGACAAATGACTTCCCAAATGTTTCATGTTATTGCGATGTTCAAATTAACTCCTATGGAGAAGCAAAACCAAACCAAGCTATAGTTATGCTTTCTTCAAGACAAAACTTCAAATGTTTTAATAGCAAATATGGCTTATTATTTAGATGCTTAGAGCAGCATTTTAGCTCATGTAAATCATTCAGCTCCGGAGATCAGAGGTTGTCCATGTCACAAGGACAAATGTACAAGAAGTGACCTCTGCTGGACAAATGACTCTGCTTCACAGAAAACAAATGCACAGAAGTGATAGCGTCTTTTTTTGTACAATATGTCAATAAGAACTTAATCTTTTCTTTTTAGAGTTAATTTTTCTTAATTTTCAATATTCAGAAAACGCATCTATATGGCAAACAGAGACGGATCAGACTGATAACAAAATCAACACCTGCATTTGCTGAAGTGAATAATTCTAATCATGGCAAGATACTGCCCCTAAAAGTTCCACCAAACTTACTTCTGCAGAAGGGGTAGGTGATAATGTCCTTGGAGACTGCAAAGACATAAAAATAAGGTTACTGAAACATCGTTGCATGTGCTCGGACAGAAAACGGTTATCTAAACATTGCTGCAGATACACCGATATAGGGCAATGTAAAATGTCAATGCAGAAATTACTGAGGCCATTGCAGCACTGGAACTTGCTTTTTCCATGTTGCTCAGGAACTGGTCCATAAATCACTGAAGCAATTAAAGTGTCTGGGAGAATCTTTATAAGCGTGATTAATTCAGTCAAATATCATGCAACATCATCTCTCAGCCATCTAATCATTGTAGTAATTAAAACATAGCTGTAAAGATCAAAATCAGAAAGCGTTATTAATTTAATAACCATGTCTGTTACAAAGAAATCTTTAAAGTGGAAATCAAAAGTAAATAATCTTAACTCATGGAAACGCATGGAAAATCAGAAATACAGAATAACTTCCAGGATGAAGCATGTTTTTCCTCCAACACACATACTCTGGCAAAAATGTACTTCTCCCCAAGGCCTTACATTTCACACCCATGCAAAGGAGTACATAGTTGTCACACTTCTTTGATATGATCTCCTTTAAATCCCTGTGTTCTTCCACGGTTACGTAAGGAGAACAGACAGGAATTACAAGCACGTATATTGAAAGAACCATGCAAAGGCCAGTGGGCAGAAATATGCACAATATTATGAAAAGTTTCAATTACAGAGATAGGGAAACTGAGGCAAGAAATACCTTTAGAAATGAAATATAGGATTATCATACATTGATGGTATGAACAAGAATAAAGGCTCTGTGTAATTACCAGTTATGTGCCCTTTAATTACAAGACAATTTGAAGTTGGAGGATCAGGATTTTCTTTATGCACTAAACTTCAATATTACTTAATTGCCATAATAAACTAGGCAAGAGATTATGCTTTTAAGTAGGACCACAATTATTATAAAACGATACAGCTATTAAGATAACGTCTCAGAAGCAAAACTGCTGATTCTGGTCTATTACAATAATGTATAATAGCAGTAGTGTAAAACATATGCAAAATTTCTGGTAATAAATATCCAGCTATACCTTTTGTGTTGAGAGACCATTAACTCTCATGGAGCTGGTGATACCGCGAATGCAAAGTACCCAAACAAAGGAGTGACATTTTTTATTTGAGTACAGAACATCTCCTTTTCAGCAAGCTTCCATAAAGCTTTTTAAAGACTGCTTTTGTTACTTTCCATCAAAGCCTTGAATGCCTTTTACATTCTTGTGTTCCTAATCCTTATAACCGCACAAGTTCTATACAGCAAACCACCATTTCATTATAGATCTAACAGCAGCAGCTATAAAAACTTTTCTCCACATGAAACACATTGTATACAGTGCTTTATAGCACTATTCTCCACAAAAACTGAGAGCTAATCTCAAACTTTCAATATGAACGAAAAAAAGCACATATTGTGATGTGTGTTCCCACATTTTTCTACTAGTAATTTATGTGTTACTGTAAATAAACAAATTTCCGTAATCTGCTGTGGTTGCCTAGATGCTAAGGTAATGCTACTGTAAAAGGTAGACACAGGAATCTTAAGTCTGGGAAGGCATCCCAGAAAGTAACATGCTGAAACCATGACCAGCCTTTCATGTATTTTTACTACACCGCTATCTGATATCATCTCGTTGCTTTTTGGGAAATGGAACCACACTCTGCAGTCAACTTACTGTTTTATCATGCACAGGTGAACCGCCATATCTCAAACTCTGAGTCTGCCAAGGAATGCTTAGTTCTTCAGAGTTTATGAGGTCTTTTAAAATTCGGTCTATCAGAGAGGTCTACACTAGTCAGTTTGAAATACATTGTGCAATTGACTGAGAAGAAACAGCTTAGCTCCAGAATAGTAAACCAGTGGAAATATACAGTTATGGCTCTAGATTGATGGCGGGGGGGGGGGGTGTGTGTGTGTAGAAAAAAAAATATCAAGTTAGGCCTTGGGTTGGTTGGGGGGGGGGGGTGTGTGTGTGTGTAGAAAAAGTCTGGGTAGAGAGCCTGTTCTGACTAAATTTACGATAAAACTTCTACTCACTGCAATACTCATGGCTCAATGCTCTATCACTTTGAGATCTAAGGGGCTGCTCAAATACCTGAAGTCATACAGGTCATTTTGTGCTCTGGGAAACTTCTGCAAACTTTAACAGGTGTCATTTTATAACACAAGTTTCAGTATTTCACATTGACCTCATTTTAACTGTCTTTTTACTGAACTACTAGGTAGGATGCCTGCTCCATTTTGAAGCATCTATCACATTAGAAGAAATCCCTTTTCTCATTTTACAACAGCTTGTTTACTGAAAGCTGTTACAGACATTCAGTGCTTTCACCAGACAGAATACTAGAAACAAAGGACATGCAGATAAAATGCTGCTTCTCTCAATATTTATCAACAAAAGTCACAGCTGAGAAAAGAATTTCAGTGCTAATCAGGTCGCTGCTAGCAGTGCCGAAGTTATAGGACATGAAGAACCTGAGTAACTGACAGTTTCTGGAAACGTTATCACTACATTAAGGGTCAGCCTCAGTAGCAGAAAATCTCTTTACAGATCTCATTTCTTATCTCTTCATCTCTTTTATATTAGAAGCTAAACCACCTCTTCATGAGTTCCCCCTCTCTTCCCCGCTATCTGCTGGCAGGTCTGTAACTAAAATGCCTGGTTCCGCTAGATGGTGCTACGTGAAAACATTTTTCATCAGAGGCTTCCAGAAAAACAAGATTGGGATTTAACTGAACAAGACAGATTATGAGCGAGAAACTTTTCAAAGCATTCCCCTTCCACTGCAATAAAGAAGAAAGTCTCATGCTGTGTTTTTTTACTTTCTATGGCTAAAGTATGTAATTTTCTTGTAGCCCATCCCTGTAATTAAGGTTTGTCTCCACTACTGGATTAACTTTGGTGGTTCTTGCACACCTCCCTTGTACACCCAGAAATCTTTCTTAGCTGAGCTTGTCAATTTTTTCTTTTTTTTTTTTTTTTTTTTTAAATCATGATGAAGGGTATTTCTAGTGTACAAGCTTAAACTCAGCGTCCCCTTTTATTTAACAGCACCACAAACACACACTTTGCAAAGAGAATGCAGGTTAAATCACTCAAAGTCTGTAAAGCCCTGCCATGACTAAACATGTCACCTCCTTTGATTTTTAAAGATGATGGTGACTGATGTATGATGTACCGAGATTATTGTCACTTGACTACCACAACACAAACACAAAGAGATCACTCCACCCTGATGGGCTTGTGTTCTCATTAGGGCAAGGGAAGGGAGGACAAACAGGTACAAAGAGGTGAGGTAACTTGCCCAAGGTGACAGAAGTCAGCAGTAGCATTGGGTGGAAAACCCAGGTCTTCTGAAAAGAAGGTGAGAGCCCTTCCGGTTCTAGAACAAATTTCTGTAGCCATCAGAAATTAATTGGATTTAATGCTGGTGAAAATATGGGGTAAGAAAACCCCAAAAGCCTTTGCTTATCCCCAGAACAAGTAGAAGAGCAGACAGCTTCCACCATACTGCTTTGTCAGTGAGAAGCTTCCCTTCAAGGATTAAGAAACAGTTCATCTTCTCTGGGTGAGATTAGTTCCTCCTCTGTGACCAACAAGAGACTTGTGTTTGTAGAGGGTTTTGTGGAATGGGTCAGGCCTGTTGGAACTAGTAAGTGCTCACCAATGCATCTCACAGTGGTTTTGAACCAGATGTCAGCTGGATTCACTACCAACATAAATTTGAGGGGGGAAATTCTGTAATATTCTGACATGTTAATAATCTCTTATCTTATTCTTGAGCTGAACACTCTCCTGAATTTCCAACTCATGTTATATTTAAAAGATGAACCCTATAAAACATTAAAGAATAACGGAGAAAAATTGAGGCAGCTCTGATCTGTTCGTAGGCAGAACACTTTGCTAAGAAAGCAGATTACCAGTCACTGACCTGGGCATCTTCAGACCACTGGTGCCTGAATGATTTACTGTACTTCCTTTTTCCTCAGCTCATCTTCACACTCAATTCAGTTATAGTCAGTAAAGTCACTGAGATTGGAAGGAAGTAAATCCATTGCCATGTCCATTTAGATTTGCATTCAGGAAGTCTGATTTACAGTCAGACACTATTGCATGACAAAACCTGCTTTATGATCTGCATTCGAACAATGTAAATAGTAATTGCAGCTATGGAAGTTTACCTGAGAAAACTAGGGGACCCTACAACCTGAAAGATATCTTTAAATACAAATTTAGAGAATAAATAGACAGGTTTTTTGTATCATTGCAGGATACAAGAATCCTTACTAAATGTCAGGAGTTTAAAATGTGAGGCAGCTATTTCCATAATACAACTAACCTGCTTTCCCAGGTGGAAGAGCATTTCCTCCTGACCTAGTTCAGATTTTATCCAGTATGTCCAGCAAAGTGCTCTGGAAATAAATTTCCCTTCAATATGTGTAAGAGAAAGCATCCCACTTCTCTTAATCCTTTTGCTGTCATAAAACATCATGGTATTCCTCATATTCTGTTGTGAATACTGGTGCCACACAGCACAACATCAGGTTGGCTTTTGCCTCACGTTCTGGACTTTGCAGCACCCAAAGACTAGGATATCCATGTGAGTTATGAGAATACACACACAGCCAGTCTGCAAGCCTCCCCCCTGCCATTCCTCTGCCAGTGGCTGGTGTTAATGTAGGTGTTTAATTGTATGTTTAATTGTGTGGTTTTGCACACAAGGCATCATCAGGATTGTTCCCATTAAACCCAGATCAAACAGACAAAAAGCACTTTGAACAGCAGCAGCAGCAACAATATCTAGGAGTGTCAATTAGAAATTGTTTCAAACGAGTATAGAAGCGAAGCAGGCTTTGAATAAAGCGTATAGCAGAATGAGTTGCTTGTCGGTTCATTACCTCTCCAAGACTCTGTCTCTCCTGTCTGTCCTCGTAGGCGGAAGTGTAGAATGGCTCATAAGTAATTAGGTCTGGACGTTCAATGTCATAAATGGCCTTGACTTTGGGAATGGCTGCTAAATCCTTGTAATCAAGGATTTCATTGTCTACTTTTGCCTGAAGGTCAAAGACAGAAGACAAATTAACTTACACAAATGCACTGGTAATTTTTGTTTTACAAAATTTATGATTTTTGTGTATTTGTTGTCACACTGTTGCTACGGAAAACCCTTTTCGGCACTCTACACGCAAAGTGATTGCTTCTTGTTCTTCTCCAGCAGGCCTCCTCTGCAAAAGCACAGTGTTTTCCCAGTTTAGGAAAGAAAGAACGTGGCATATATAGATCTAATACTAGAGTTTCTTATCCCTAGTAGTGAGCTGGAAACTTCAGCTCTGCAAATGACTCATTTTGTGGCCTCAGGCAAGTATTTTCACCTTTCTGCTCTTGTTTTCCTGTATATAAAATGTGTGATAACATCAACTTAGTTTGCAGATTACAGAGATTACAAGAGGATTCCATGCAGAAGACCACAGACAGAAACTCAACTTAGAACTGTGCACACGAGAGGAAATACAATTTACTACAAGGAAATAAAAAGGCAAGCAGGACTATTTGTCAGGAGTGGGTAACCAAATTCGAAACTGAAATTATCATATTGCACTCATCACTCAACCTATACCCAAGCTTCTGGCTAAGGCATATGTTGCTTACTAACTGCATAGTACATAGTATTAACATTGACTATTTTTTCCACTAAAACTGCAAGGAGCTCTTGACTAGTTAAAAAATGGAAGTAGGAAATCAGTTCCAAAGACAGCTGCACCCATTAGAAAGAGGTAGAAAGTGGCCTTACATATAGTTTAGATAGCTAATATATTTCCTTACTTAAAAGAAGACTTTTAAAAAAATCATTATACATTCTTACCTACCTTACAAAAATACATTTGATGATTAAAACTGAAGGAGAATATTCAAATTGGTTTTCAGCTCTTCTACCAGATATTTTATTTATTCATAGTAGGCCGCACAAGGAAACAAGGTTGATCTGTTTCTACTCACATTCAGTTCCATTATTCCCGAGTACTAGTATGTAGTATTTTCAGATTAAAGTGCATTTGCCTTCCCAAGTTTTCCTAAAAAACACTGGTCTTGGTGGTTCTTAAGCAATGCCATAAATTAGAAACAATATAAAACATTTTTTGATAGAGAAGTAAGGTTTTAAATAGTTTTGAATAGAAACTAACTTTCTAAAAATAGCCTCAAATCTGTTTTTATATATATATAATATATATAACAACATACCTTAAGCCAATTTAACCTTTAAAATACGTAGGTATATTAATGTATGTATTTCTGTAATATTTTTACCCTAGTCTGTTAATGAGCTGTAAATATGTCTGGATATTCTTAATCCAACATAAATTACCATAGATATTTTTGTAGACCCTGGTCTAGGCCACCATGTTGCCTTACAGACTGTGCTGCTGAGCAGCAGTTAAATTTCACAAGCTACAGCTTATGAAGTTGAAGATTACCAGGAGAATGGCAGTTCTCCAGGACATGCTCTGTGTTTTGATATCTACAGTGTGAACATTTTTAATATATCAGCTAATTTTTGTTGGTGGTGTTGAAAGGCACTGAAGAATTAGTATTTAACTCAAACTCAGGACTTGAGATTTGTAATTTTGGTAATTTTTCTGCATTAGTATACATGTAATGGATAAATTTCTGTGTCTTACGCTACATGTTCACCTATATAATCTTAAGGTTATCTATAAAATCAATGATTCAGCATTATGCATAGGTAGCAGAAAAGAAAATTTGCTCTGTAGTCTGCCTCTTCTTCCCAGTATACCTTCATCTTTGCTCCCCTCATAAGTGACTCACTCTCACTAACTTGCCTTCCTGTGATTTTCTTCCTTAGCTGTTATCTTCCACTTCAGCCTTGGGTTTTGTGCAGGTTGTCTATCTGACAGCATGTTTTCTATGAGGACTAAGGTTATATGGACATTCAAGGAACAGGACTTTTAAATGGATATGAATTTTTGGAAGGGCAGGTTATATGCATAGAAATACAAGTTTGAGAAGGCCGAGTTGTTCTGTTATTCACCCAAGTACATTTGAGTTGATACTCTTCCTCCTTAGAACTGCATTAGTACAGTCACAAAAGATGACCTTTTTTTTTGACCCTGTGGACTTCTCTGCCAATTAAAAAAAAGGTACTGACATTTACAACACTGCAATGCTTGGAAAAGTGGTATGAGGAGAAAAACATTATTGCTTTTAAAATTTTGGGCTAATGTATTTCCACTTTTAATTTCTAAGATCTTATGGGCTCAAAAGGTACCAATAATGAGGCTAAGAAGTTAAAGAGATCCTCTAAAATAATGAAAGAGGAGGCTCGATTACTGCAGGAATCCTATTAAACTCTACATCTCAGGTAACCACAAATAAAGTAGTTTATTAATAGCTTCGCATTTTCAGCACTGTTAGTTTAGTAAAAGAAGGATGCTTAATATTATTTTTGTTCTTAAAAAACACTTTTTCTTCCACATCAAAACATTTGACTTCTGAAATGGAAGGTCGTGGAAACAGTCAGGCTTCTTTTAGTGCAGCGGACCCTCCAATAGCTTCGCATTTTCAGCACTGTTAGTTTAGTAAAAGAAGGATGCTTAATATTATTTTTGTTCTTAAAAAACACTTTTTCTTCCACATCAAAACATTTGACTTCTGAAATGGAAGGTCGTGGATCAGTCAGGCTTCTTTTAGTGTAGTGGACCCTCCTCCCCACATCCTGCAACTGCAGACAGCAGATCTCTCAAGAACTGCATATCGAGGTGCACAGATCTCCTCACATAATCTCTAATAAAGCCAGATGACCTGTCTGCCTTCTGTCCTTCTTCACATCACCAAGTGACTTCAAGAGATTTACTGTATCTTTCTAAGGGAATAGAGACCTGGAGAAGGCCTATCCTGCTCTGGAAATTCATAAAAACTACATGGCAAGAGTTTTAACAATTCAACCACTAGAATAAAGGCATTAGTATCAGTATAAAAGTGATTTATTTCAGCGTGGAGTACTTCATGTGCAAGCAAGGGATTGGCAGCTTATTCATCAGAGGAATACTTACATAGATAGTGTGGCCTGGAGAGCCAGGTATACTAGAACCTGGTCTGGAATAAATACTTTCTGATGATGTTCTTGTAGGCTGAAAAAAAAAAGTAACTTTTCAGAGCAACTTGAACAACATTGGTAATTTTGGTTTTAAGTGAAGAAATCTGCACACATCTTGAAATTAACTGAATTTAAGAAAAAATGTCAACACAAATGCAAGCATTCTGGCAAATTTCACAATCTTGTGAGGCAAGTGGGTTTTTTTTTTGGTAGGGGAAGGAGTGCCGTGAGAGGGGAAAGAGGTTTTCTAAATCATACAATGTAAAAGACTGACAACAGTAATGAACAAAATCAAACACCACCTGCCAGAGACACTGCGAGGAGCCATACAAAGTACAATCCAGGATAGTCCTGCTGGTCATTTTATCAAAACATTAGTTCACAAACAGCTAAAGGTATCAGCAGTTCAGCAGACAAAACTGTTGAGAGGAGCATAGCACACACATTATCACTTTCCAGAAGTTCAGTCACTGGATTTCCATTATGAATACAGAAATGAGTTCAGTCCTCCTAAGTAGAAGGACCAGAAATCCTTGGCTTGGAGCTGTTCCCTACATCTGCAGCACTATGTAGATGCAACAAGGAAGCTAAACTGTTGATTGCAATTTCATGATTACGCATACTGCAAAAATCCTGATGTTTAATGACAATGTCCTGCAAACTGAAATTCATGAGAACAGTCACATCTCTACAGAGCGAGTGCTGTTATACATTTAATAAATTTTCCAACACTTCATCAGGACTAAACAGACACTGATTGCCTGAGGGAAGTTTTGTGACAGGAGACAAAGTAACTTATCACTGAGATGTGGGGATCCTGAAAACTTGATGAATTTGAAAAATATCTATTTGGTCAAAAGTCACCCAGGCTATTGTGGGAATTACTCCTAAACTTGTCATGCAGCAGACACAGGAAGGTAGTCAATGATATCCCACTCACAAGTGAGAAACCATGAACAATTTTTGCTCCCTAATTGACTGCAAAGAATGAAATCCCATCACAAAGTAATGCATCAGCAGATGACTCTGATGACACTAGTGCAGTGGGATATTTCAAAGTCACTGAAAATTAAATCTTGGTAGATATTCGTTGCCTCATCAGCTTGTGACATTGAACTAAGGGACCTTCAGGCACATACTGAAGAGAAACAAGGCTACCGGACTTTTCGTATCTCTCAGCAGGCACTTCCTGAAAGGATCCTTCAACAGACCACAGAGTCTTTCTACCTTTTATTTCATAGCCAGCAAAGCTATTGGAACCGTCCATATAAAAAACGCTGAAGACTGTCGTGGATCATACAGCAGGCTTTCTCCGACTTCATTTGTGGAAATTAAATCATCACATTCAGGGAGGCACAGAGGAATAAAAGGCTTTGAACATGTTCCATGAAAAAATGTGAAGATTCAGATCAAACAGAGAGCAGATGTGGTCACGGACTGACAGTCACAAATCCTCTCCAGAGCATGTCTGAGAACACTTTCTCAGCTGGACCTTTATGTGTTTCTTTCCTTTTCTCTTTGTAGCTACAAATTCCTACATCCCAAATTAGCTGCCCTTAAGCTCCTCCCATGATGCAATCAAAGCAAAAGAACCAACAACCACCACTTGCTTCACAGAAATGCTACAAGAATTACGCTGGAAAATCTGGTTGTTGTTGAGAAACACTTTATTCCCCCTTCCATTCTGCCATTTCACCCCACTGTCTGTTTGAGTGGAGACACATGTAACATGCTGCTGCAGTTGCTATGGAAAGCAACTGTTTTCATTACAACACAGGGAACAGTATTAAGTAGTTGAGGTACTGTTAGGGGTGTCTCTGTTACCTTTGGCTTTTGGGAGACATACTTTAAGAGTTTTGTCTGCTCAATTCTCCCTGTTGTAGGAAAACAAGTGTTAGAGGCAGTTACGGCTTCTTCCCAGCTGGCAGGCCCTCTGGGTTGCTCTTTACACTGGATCTTTTATAATAACTTCAGAAAACAGGACATTCTCAGCCCTCGGTCCATCTCCTTCGTCTCATCTCTTAGCGTCACTGCTAAAAACCTTTTCAGCAAAGGAAAATTCACTAGTAGTTATCACTTCAGTGAATTAATTAAATAGACACCTCAAGAAGATAGTTTCAGCCACATCCTGCTAACAACTTTCTCAGGTACTTTTAACCCTGGAGTACAGGAGCAGTTGTCAGATGGACTGGCAAGTTGTAGCATCTGTTCTTCATTTCCTCACTCTGTTTCTGCTCCAAGTTCCTTGCTACCATCCCATTAACACAGCCATGAGCCAGATATGACACCCTTTAAAACTAGTTTTCTATGTCCTGTAATTCTTCCTGCATACATCAATTTTACCTCCCATCTATTGCAAAGCTCCATATGCCCTGGGCAGGATGCCATCCTGCCAGCCACTGCCTCAGCACACACTGTTCCTCTCCTGAGGAGCTTAATCGAAGCAGACCTGGAACTCTATGGCTCCTCTATTCACCCCCGGTCTTGTATCTTGCTTAAGTTTATGACATGCTCCTGAAGACAGTGTATGAAAAAGAGGACTTCTACGTCTACTCTCACTCTTCCTGCCTCACTTTGCCCTATTTGTTGTTTTGAATTACACAGGCTGTTTCCATCACAGATGGCTAACTATTTCCTACTCTGCTGCTCCCATATGGTCTGGAATCCTTCACAGCTTTGCACTTTTCCCTAAAGACAATCGCATTGCTCTTAAAAACATTTGTGCTGCTTGCCTTAACAAATATATACTGACTCCTTGATATAAGCTGTTCCTCTGGCTACTTTTAGTTGCCACGGTTAGCTGCTCTCCTAACAGACCTGTAATAGCTCCTGACTGAAAATCTGTGACAGGGTATGGCTTTTATTAGACTGTACATTACATCTCCACTAGCAGTTGAGAATCCCTGACCCTGTGTACCACTGTTGTGCCTTTATATTTTGGCATATATATATATTTGTTACCTGGCAAAAGACATGCTGGAGGACAAGTTCTCTATTGATGTAACTGCAATGGGGTGTAAATTCCACCCTAAAGGAGAGCTGATGAGAGCACAGGTGAAAGAGGAACAGCGGCTATCCCTGATTTACCTTTAGTGGAGATACCACGTGAGCATCTCTTGCACACATTATTGTAAGAAGACAGGTAAAGAAAGTAGAGGAAACATCTTTTAATATGAATGTGTTAATTTAGAATCATAGAATCATAGAATCATTATGGTTGGAAGAGACCTCAAAGATCATCAAGTCCAACCGTATACCCAATGCCACCATGCCCACTAAACCCACTAAACCATGTCTTGAAGTGCCACATCTAAACGTTTTTTGAACACCTCCAGGGATGATGACTCCACCACCTCCCTGGGGAGCCCATTCCAATGCTTAACGAGTCTCACAGTGAAGAAGTTCTTTCTAATGTCCAGCCTGAACCTCCCTTGGCGCAACTTGAGACTGTTTCCTCTAATCCTATCGCCAGTTACACTGGGGAGAAGAGACCAACCCCTGCCTCGCTACAACCTCCTTTCAGGTAGTTGTAGAGGGCGATAAGGTCTCCCCTCAGCCTCCTCTTCTCCAGACTAAACAACGCCAGCTCCCTCAGCCGCTCCTCGTAAGACTTTTTCTCCAGGCCCTTCTCTGAACACGCTCCAACAGCTCAATGTCCTTCTTGTAGTGAGGGGCCCAAAACTGAACACAGTATTTGAGGTGCGGCCTCACAAGCGCTGAGTACAAAGGGATGATCACTTCCCTAGTTCTGCTGGTCACACTACTTCTGATACTTTAAAAAAACTTTAGGGGTACTTCCTTCCAGCACAAGAGTCGTGTGACACTTGTTCTACACTCCCAGCAATAAAATAAGTTAAGCTGCCTTACTTCTTCTACAAACCGATCTGGAACATTCTTTATATGATTGTACTTGTTCTTGAGGATTCAAATAGAACTTTTCATAGTGCCACCTTTATGCAGAGAAATTGAAAACAAATTTCTATGAAGAACTACAACTTTTCATTTTCTTGTGGCATGGTCTTTCTCCACATTTTCTGACAGTAGTAGAGTCATCTGGTTTTTTCTTCCCTCCTCCACCCAAATGGATGTAACAGTAGTAAATATATCAATATGGGATGTCTGTACCAGATACAGGAAGTCTATGAAGTATATGAAAAAAAAAAAATCAATAGAAATTCAGTCAATAGAAATTCATGCATGCCATTAAAGGAGTCAAAAGAAAGAATCAGATCACAAAACATCTAAAGTATCTGCAAGACTTCTCAGAATTTCCCACTTTGTCACAGACTTCTTATTTTTCTGTTTTTGTTCTTCATTCCATGCATTTATCTTCAATGCAGAAGTTCTTCACCAACTTCATTTGCAGACTGGCAGAGGTAACATCAACTGTCATGCTCATCCTACAAGGTTCACTCTGAATTTCAATGCTCAGGTACCGTATCACCCATGCATATGCCTCAAATTGAAGAACTTGTTATTTTAATATTAGCTTAAGATGTTCAGCTACATTTACCTCAGTTTGTCATGTCATCATGCATAGTACATCATCTAAATAAATAACTTCTTTAAAAAAAAAAAAAATCAACGCTAGAGCCATTCACATCATCCAGATGCTGCTACAATGTGGTGGCTCTGGCTTTCTCAAGTACAGATGTTCAGAATCATGCTCTATAATAACTTAGAAGTGCAGGCAACTAGATCAAAACTGATCCCAAGAACATCTGGTCAAATGGATGCACTACTGTTTAACAAAGGCATCGTCAGCATTGTTTACAGTACCTGCCTTAGTTTTTTGATAGAGTTCATTATGCAAGGCGGTGATAATAGCTGCAGAAGAATGAATATGTTTTCACTTAATAACATTTAGCATTACAGCTTAAGCAAATTTTCTAAACCTCAGAAGCTACTTTAACTGAAGTATGTTTATAAATAAACTAACAGAAAATCAGGATGTAATTTATTCTGCTAGGCAGACAATTTCGCAATAGCAAGGAATTGGCTTTCTCAGTACAGCACTTGCTACTCTGACCACCTGCTTCATCAATTGCAAGGTTTTACAGATATTTAGGACTTGCAACCAGGGTTCACTAAACACAGCCTTCCTATGGACTTCAGTAATTTTCAGTGGTCATATACAAGACCAATAAAGCACCTCCGTCTTACAGCACACATTGTGCCTGTCTGCTAGTTTAACTGTACCCTTCTTCTTATAAGAGAGTTTCCTTCAAATGTATGCATTCATTATTTCTCTGCCTAAAAAATCTACACTATGTATGCATCAAGACAAAATCAGTGACCAGGTTTAGTTCAAACTCACACAGACACACATATTAGTAGCTTACAACTAATTTTTCTTTCCTTTCTAGACACAAAGGCCAGAGAGGACAATGAATTTTCAGCACATAATCACTGAAGGCACGTTGCTACCAAGCAAAGTTTTGTAAGACTACTCCTGCAAACATAGCCTTCATCAAGAGTAAGTTAAGTGGAAAGCAGAAGAAAATAAAGTGGAAAGGCCAGAACATAAGGAATTCAACAGGAAACTTCTCAGAGAATTCACAAGATTTCACTCTACAATTTTCAACCCACAATTTTCATGCAGGTTCAAGCCTTTGGCCCATCTTTACAGCAACAGCAATGACAGTATCTTTGTGTCTACTCTGCAGAAGAACACTTGAAGCCAAAATTTGCCTTGAATTACATTTTGTATAATCAGCATGTAAATCTGAACAGAATTTAATAGTGACCAAATTTACACAAGAGGATATTCATTTACACAAGAGGATATTCATCTGACCCTAAGCTATTTGGATCCTACACAGTCTACAAAGCAAGAAAGAGAACATACCTTTATTTTGACGTGGGCTGCGCCTATTTTGCCTTGTATCTTTTTCTAATACATTGGATAGGATTTGGTTTTTTAATCCTAAGGCCTCCTGGGTTTCAGCACCGGAAACTCAGACTTGTGCATGCTAAGCTGAATGCAAAAAGCCACTACGCTGGCCTAAAAGATGAGTGAAATTGTCCCACTGTTTGCAGTTCTCAGACTCCAACGTTCAATTCCTTAAAGCCCAGGACTGCAGAAACATTGCTTTCCTTAGGAGCACTGATAACACATCTTTATAGGTGTATTTTCTTGATACATATTTCTGTAGCTAACAATGAGAGTGGTGTTCAAGAATGGTTAATGCATAGCAACATCCTAAGTTAACTGACGAAAGCACCGTGCAGGGCTAAAGGGCGCAGGGCTTGCATTAACTCCCACTGAACCACAGCATTGGATTCAACCACGTAACACTATCCTGTAGACTGCACCTAACATAAATATCCTGCCCTGGCCAATGATATGACTAGGTCTACTTTGCAATTAGAGATATGACGGCAGCACAAGTAGACACAATGGAAATCCAGTGGTACGGACTCTATCAGCATGCCTGCCCACCGCTACCCTGTACTAAGTCCATATCAGTACATTCTTACTTTTTCATCAGGTGAAAGCTACCTCAGGTGTGCCTGCATGCAGTACAGCCACATGTTCCCCCCCAGCAAACACAGCTAATAAATAAGCACTGCCCTGAAGGAGAAGAAATGGAAGTGCGTGGTGTTTGTAGGTGCAAAGCAAACTCAAGGAAGTCTGAACATCGAAAGGTAGTCCAGAATCAAGAGGACAGGAAGGACCTCCCAACTCGGACATGGATGTACTCCAGATTAGAGAGATGCAAACGCTCTTGGGCAGCGCATAGAACATGGCCAAACCTGGAATTTTGTAAATATTTTCTCAACTAAAGTATTCACGTGTAGTTCGTCAATATATATAAAAAAGGACTCATTTAACTGATGGCATTTTTTGTCTAAAAAGCATGAACCATTGTTCATTAAAAACTATTTCTTCTTAACCATCACTTTAAAGTCAGATGCTTTTCACCATTTTCATGTGCTTCATATGTGCACTCTAATTTTTTTGTTTTAGAAGAAAAACTTTCTGTAACACTCGAAGAACAATACGACAGCCCCAAAAAGCTCATCTGAATCTAAAAAAAAATAATTTTAAGCACTTTATGAAACAAAATAAGTACTGTGAAAATTAACAGACAACACTGCACCACATGATGCAAAATACAGCGTCAGTGCCCATGGTGGCAAGTGATAGCAGGAAAGCTGTGTGGCAAAAGTAGTAGCAAGCGCAGCGAATGACAATAATGAAGAATCTTCTCAGTAAAGAAGACCATTATCAACACCATGAAAACACAACAGCAAACCTCTGCAGAGCGTGGCCTGCGCAGAACCAGACTCTTTGGATAAAAGAACTCAGATGAGGAATGCTGTCATGAAACACAAAAGGGAAAAATGAGTGAAAAGGAAAGCAGTTTCCTCAGCTCAGTTGTTAAGCTCTTTTTTCAATCAAGTTACTAGTATCTACCTGCTAGATAATAATCTGTGCATTATAATCTCTGTGTTACTTACTGATACCTGCAGAATCACGAACAGCCAGACAGTTGTAAAAAAACCCCTAAGCAATGTATATTTTTGTAACATGCATATGGTTGCTTTATTTTCCGCTTGTTTTGGCTTTGTAATCCTCCACAAATATCCAGTGGGGGGAAGATCTAAAGCAACCATTGTTGTTATGAACCCCCTCTCAGATCTTGACCAGCTAGAATGCTGATTAGTTTATATCACAATTCAGTTACTGAGAGAAAACAGAACTTACTGAAAACTTCTGAAGTGACTTCAATGATAAAAGGGATTTTTGTTTTGTTTTGCTCTATAGGGAAAGGAAACCCAGCAGAGCAAACAGGCCATGTCTGTGGCTTTTGCAGAACCACCAGAAAATCTAGGCCTGTCCCTGAAAGCGGCTATATCATATACTTGTCAACTCACAAACCAGATTCCAATTTTCAACATCAGGTCTAAATGTATGTCATAAGAAACTGAAAGTCAATCAAAGTATCATTCATAATTTAGTGGTGACATGTTCAAATAGCACATAGTTCCCCCAGTTTCATTTGTTTCTGTACCTACCTGTTTGCTACTGCCTTCATTTGAGTCAGCAGAATGAAATGTGTGTCAAAGTCATCAAAGTGAACTCAAACTGATTTTAAACTAAGGCATCTTATTTTAGTACATAGTAGAGACTATCTGTGATGTATAGCTGAAGCTAAAAATTCTCCATCTCTCCAGTAGCTTCAGTACAGTGCATTTGTCAATGCCTTTTAAAGACATATTAAACCTCTGCATAGAAGCTCTCATCCAGGAACAAGGTGACCTTGGATAGTTGTGCTATAACATTTCTCAGATGTTCCCTTAACATGCATTCTTTTGCTTCACTTCATTTTCCTGCAAGAAGTCACTTAGGCAAAGTCTTGCATGTGAATGAATTAATTCACTTCACCCACTTCAATTAAAATTAGCTGAGGGGGAGGAAGACTGACATGCTTGAATGTGTGATGGAAAAAAGGAACATATTTGAAGTGGACTTTGGCCATTTCCATGGGGAATGGAAATAAGGCAACTGATTTATAAGGTCAGCTGGAGAAGGTTCATAAGGGCCGCAATGTAGTCAGGAATGCTTTGATAAGACTCTCAGGTCCAAGTGAAAGGGAGGTATTGTACCCCAACCATTTACTACAAAGCACAAGCATTCTGACACTTAAGCAGGACCAGAACACTGTCTTACATTCAAATTGCTAAATGAAGAAGGAAATCCAGTCCAGCACAATTTCCCATTTTCTTGTGGAAAGTCAGGACAGAGCAATCTGCAAATGCGGGATGGCACCTACAGTGATGTTTGGCTGTGCCAGATCACAAGCCCATCTAGGGTCAACTATACTTCTGTATTATCAGTACCGCCCACACTAACATGAAGTCTGCTCAACAAAAAATTATCTGCACATTACCTACAATCATAGTAAATTCTCTGTGGGGGACGTTTTACAGAGCAGTGCACCTGAATAAATTCTAAAGGATGCAGCTGCCTGTGAATGAGCCACACATAGAACACAATCCACAGGATATCCTAGGTATCTCCATGCCAGTTTCCTTGTCTGAAAGGAACAAGGCATTATTCATAAGCAGTCTCTAATATTCATATCCAGAAAAATCAGCAAAGTTCAAAGGACCAACTGAGACATCAAAAAAGAGTAAATTGTCCAGAAGATGAATCAGTGAATATGGGCTTAAAATTGCTTGGTGCATGCAAAAAGCCAGGCTCCAGCGTTTATCAGTGCAGCACTATTGCCATCATGGATTTGATACAGAAAATTTGTCTGGATATGCCGAGATGACTCCAAGGGTAACTACAGCTCTTCTTGGCATTCAAATTAGGATCACTTTAGGCTGAGGTTTATTTGGGTGCCAAAGGAAGAAGAGTCTATATTGTTTAAATACTGTAAATAACCATGCAGAACAGGGGATAACTATAAGAGCAATTACACAGAAGTGCAAAAATACTAAAACATATTGTAGCATTTGCCCTGTTAACATTTTCTCCTTAAGAGTCTCTCTCACAATAATTGAGAAATGAAATGGAAGTGTCTTAGAGACTCTATCATGTCTGTATGTCTGTAAATGACACTATCTTTAAGGCAGTGCACTGAGACAGGTATGTGAAGGTGGTGAGCCTAAAAATCAGAGCAGTACCTCTGAAGTGCCTCCACTGTTTATTCTGCCAGAGTGATGACAGCTATGTGAAAACAACATGGAAAAAGTCAGTCTTTTGAAAACAGCATTCAGTTATCGTGTGCACAAAATATCTGATGTGGCACTGCCACAAATTCAGCTTACCCGTAGCTTTTCTTCACTCTTAGTGGATTGCTTACAGTCGGGATGCCAGACAGTGGAACCTGAGGGAGTAAAAAAATATCTTTATTCAGAGAAAAGCAGATAATTTCCAGTCATGACAAGTCAGTTATTAAAGAGAATCCCTTCATCGCATCAGATGGTGAATCTGTATGAACTATGCAAGTAATTCACATTCAGATCTAGCTCATGAGAAATACAAGTGAAACAACAAAAAAATATTCCAATCCTTGGCCCATCTACAGCAACCTCTTCCGGAGGCTGTCAAAGCACTTTGCACACATTCTTAATTAAAACTCAAACAGCCTCAAGCAGCAAGGGAGTCAGCAAGCACCAGCTGGAGGAACTGAAAGACAGAGGGTTCCTCTGGGCAGGACCATGGGTAAGAGCAAAAGAACTGGGCCATGGTTACCTGATCCGTTCTCCCCTTATGTACGGCACCACATGTAAAAAGGAACTTCTGATTTTAAGTCCGTTAATACTAAGAAAGTCTTATGACTTCCTTGAGCAATAGTGTCATATTCCGTTACTGTAAAGTATTACTCAGATCACCTCTTCCCTACAATTATGCAAAATGCAACAGGAAAAGCTAAATTAGAAAATTCACAATGCAGTAGCATCAGGGCTGTACCTCCCCCCGTGCACTACGCTAGAGACCAGTAGGACACAGGTGGTCAAAAGCAGCACGTGAAGAAGTCTCTCCCTAGATCACAGTGTACCATACTCACCGCTGGCACACACATCATGTCTACTCCTTGCTCTGCAAGGTCAGTGGCATGTGTTGCACTGGCATTTCCACATGGCATATTCCAGCTACACATCCTGCTAAAAAAGGCAAGGTCTCGGCTGTTTGTGTCCCAAAACACGGGGTTCTCTTATGCTGTAAAAATGGAAATATTTGGCTGTCCCCCAGGGCTGAGCAATGTCAGAGGCAAGGAGCACTTCCATCCCATTTCAGTTCTCTTTTGGAACAGAGTGTAAACTGCAGTCACTGCTGGAAAGCTGCTGGCAGGTATTAGCCAAGTTGAAACAGAGCAGAAGCTAATGCTGATTTTTAACAGTGACTGCAGCTGCAGCCAAATTCAAACTTCATCCTAGTCACCACAAAGCCAATACAGAGCCTTGTCTGTCTGCAGGGGGGAACGTCACCTCTTCACTCTGTCCACAAAGAAACCAAACAGAGCAAAATCCAGGTCTCCTGCTGGTGACTATTAGCTCAAGTGCAGTCAGAGGAAACCCCACCCTCAGAGCCCAGGAGAGGTATGGGTCAAATTTTGTTCTAATGAGCCCTTACATGGCTTGGTACAGAAGTACTGACAAGAAGGAATGATTTCACCTCCCAGCAACACACTGTATAATCATCATCAGGAGACTGGAGAGAACGCTGTGACTCTGGATCAAGGGTCTGAGATGTTTGGCTTTGAGTCTAAGCTGAGGAAGAAGAAACTGTGCATTTGGCAAGGGGAAACGATCAGACAACAGGGAGAAGTGTACCAACAGCCTTCTCTGTAAACAAACAGCAGCCTCAGAGCCAGGACCCCACAGAGCCTGCGAGATCAGGAGAGAAGCATGCCCTGTGCATTTGCTTAGGAGGTCAGAGAGATCCAAGCACTCAGGAGGAAGGGAGTTCATGTTATAAGGCTGACGAACTAAGACGCAGAAGGTTTAGGTTCAACTTTCAAATTCAGCTGTGAGCTTCCTGTGTGACCCTGAGTAAAATTATCTCTGTTCCTCTGTACCTCAGTTTCTTTTCTGTTAAACTATCCCCACTATCAAAGCAAAAGCTGTTGCTGCATTCTCAGGCAGTATTTAACATAAATTGGCACAATTTTAGGGACACTCCAGGAGAACGTTGCAGCTGCTGAAAGTGAACAAGAAAAGCAAGAGAGTCTGGATGTCATTTTCATGGTGAAACTTAGCTAATGGTTGTGAGTTTTCCTTCACAAAATGATAAGAGGTTTGAAATATGTGAAATTTAAAAACCCAAAACAGATAGAGCAGGCTTAAGAAGTTAAATGTAAATATTTTTGATGATCTTGAACTCTGAGCCACCTACAGCTTGTAGATTTTTTTTTTAATCTAAACATGCAAATCGATTTTTAAATGCTTGGAACGGTGCAAGTTCTCAAGCTGTATCGCCCCTCTTTTTGCTGCCGGAAACAGTTCAGCAAATTGTAGTCATTTCCATTCTTAGCATATTTGTTTGCTCACTTGGCACACACCAACCAACATGTTCAGCTTTTTACTTTGCATGTACCATTGTTTCAACATACATCTCTCAAAATCAGTAACTTAGGCTGAAGGCCTGTCTGAGAATCAAGTGAAGCATCCCTCTAAATGCTGAGCAACACTCTAGCTTAGCAACAGTCTTCTGGGGCAGTCCATATATTTCTAGGAAGTCAATGGGAAAGAGAAAGTTTCTGATCCTGCTTCTTTTTCATTTTCCTGTGTCAAAGCAGGGCAAAGCCAGAGTGCTTCTGCTAGCACTATTCAAACCATCCTTAATAGAGAAAACCCCAAACCAGACAGCTTGTCTTTCCATGTTCTCCTTTTGCAGGTTTCCCATACATTTCTAAAACAAGTAGCTACTACAAATCTGCCCAGCTCCTCTATTATACAAAGCAATACCAATACAGTGCTTTCACGTCCTGTGGAGAGGACAATTAGAAGTGAGATGGAAGCTGCCTATTTTCATATATTTTCTCAATAATGTGATTTTCGTTGTACCTTTAGTTTTGTGGTGTTCTATTTTTATTTCAGAGAAATGCTTGGAATGCTGTTATTCTGCACTCTAGGGTAAATCACTTGGATGGAGTCAGGACATATAGTTCAGCTGAGAGCTTTGCACAGGAAAGGTTTTTAGGTCCCTTACACTTACAAGCATGCTGAATTTAGCAAGGAAAGCTTTGGCAGGACAGTCTGGAGCGCACTCAGCAATAACATTATTTAGTCAGAAAACAGCTTGTGAACAATAAAGCAATGCAACTTGGGCTGCTCCTCCTCTGAGACAGAGTAAGCATGAAGAACATTAATTCACAACCACAGAAAGGGAGATACAGCCAAGAGAACGATGGCAGATCAAGGAGCCAGGTGTCTCTCCCCTTTCGTATCACCTGAAGTTGGCCAGGACAAAAATCTAGTCTTGTTTAAGTAGAAGCAATACGTGCTGTCTTATTTGGATCTGCAGTTTACACCACAGCCTGTCCAATCAATATGAACTCCCACTCTCTGCTAGACTGGTGCAAACAGCATCAGTTGCAAACAGCTGTTGCTAGTAACAGCAAAGGATGAACTGATGCTCATCTTGAACTCTGTCTGTACTTTATGATACTATGATGAGAGGAAACTAAGAAGATTACCAGTTGTCAGATGCGGTAACTGCTGCTTTTGAATTAGTCTTTCCAATTTGCCATCACAAAGCAGTACTTCCTACCCAGCCCTCTCTCAGCCTCTCCTTGCTCTGGCAATGCAGAGCTCCTACTCCAGCCGGTATCCAGTTCTGTGCACAGCTGGAATAAGATGATGAAGGTATAAGGCCAGTGAGAGATGAGACAGACTGCAAGGGAGGACAAACTACAAAATAACACAAGCTAGCTTCAAAGGAATTCCTTAACAATATTATCTTAATTTTGGAATTCCTCCAGAAGGAATCTCTCCTCAGGATTTCAAGAGATGGCTGCCACCACTCTTTCATAATTTCTTTTCTACTCCTTTACAGTCCTTTCAGGTATATTATGTAAGTTTTCTAACATTGGTACAATATACAAAATCTCAACATGTATCTGCCTTTTCACTTTAATTTCTGGCTTGCATAGATGTGTATTATACATCTTTTGACAAACATTAATTAACACTACAACAAGTAACAAAAATAACTGTAGCTTAACAGTTAACATGCTACCTGCAGGGAGAGTAGGTAGAATTCAGATCAAGGATACTTTTCAAGCAAAGAATAGAGTATGTTCTTTTTTATGTGAAAAGATCATGAAAAAAACATGCTGGGTAATACCTGGGAGTGAAAGACTGTTGATAAGAAAGAGGAGATGAAAATGAACGTACAAGAAAGAAGTGGCTTAGAAAGACACAAAGTAAATGGGAATAAAAAGAGAGATGTGACCAGATAAAGGGGAAATAGGCAAGGCAAGCAAATATAATTAAGAACCGGAGGAGACAATCTGTCAATGCACATGGGGAATGAGATCTACATGATTCAAAACAAGCTCACTGTAGCCTCTGGAAGTTTTTTATGTTGCCTTTTACAGTTTGGAGCGTGGTCCAGAAGAGCACAGAAACTGAGCTGCACAATTCAGGAGAAATCATCTCACTTTGTCTGGTATCTCATATACCAGTCTGTGTGCTAAGCTATCCGTGACATGTCAAATTCAGAGGCAGCCAAACAAATTTCATTTTTGCTACACAGCTTTTGAAAACGCATTCTGCCTCAGCTAGAGCGTAGAGTCTCTGCAATGCCACTGTCATGGCCACCTGCTAGAGTGAAAGAGTTTCAAAAGTATGAGAACACTTTGAAGACAGGATGGCTATAGTCCTGCTTGCCCATATTACATAAAGGTGGTTTACAAACTCCTGCGGTCTGTGACAGAAAAATTACAAAGTTTGATATTCTTGTTTTGGAACGGAGACATCCTTACCTTGCAGATACATTTCTTCTCCTTCCGTGAACATTTGGTTGCACCTGCTGCATCGTGCACAGCTTGGATGATAATGCTTGTCACCTGCCTTAAAAAAAAAAAAAAAGGGAAATGAGGGACCAACGCATTGCATTGCTTTATGAGCACTCATTATTTGCTGACAGACCACTGCCATTTTTCTTCTACTTCACCTCTTATGATACAACATTGCCCTCATGATGTGACAATAGCAACGAGAATGTAAGATCTGCCATACTGCCTCACTCCAGGGGTCTGTCCAGCCCAGTATCCTGTCCCCAACAGAGGCCAGCAGTGACTACTTAGGGTAAAAGGCTTTAAGAAACAAGAGAATGCAGAACAGCCTTTCCTCTTCACACCTTGCTGTTCAAGTAATCAGTAGTTTAAAGATTTCCTGGCTAGAGGCTACACCAAAAATCTATCTTCTCCATGATTTGCCCAACACCTTTTAAAATCTCCATCTATCTAACAGTCCAAGGATATGAATGTCACACTGCAGTTAGATACTTGTGTAAACCTGCTGCCTCCTCTTTTTGCCAAACAACATGTATTTTCTCGATTTCTCTTTTGTTAAGGATGAATTTAGCCAATGAACAATAGTATTCAACCTGCCATTTCATTCCTTGGCCTTCTTCCTGACAGTACTGACATGAGCATCAAGAGACAGAGCTTTCTAGAGCCACTTCTAAGACCATTAAGTTAATTCACAAATGCCTGACTTCAGAAGCTACACTAGCACAGGCAGCTTGAGCTGAATTTGAACTATTGATGTAAAGATGATAAATACTCTAGATTCTGTTACACAAATCCAAATCCACTGAGCCATTCATTCTCTTAAATACAGTGATACCCATAATAAACAAAGCTGATCAGACTTCAGGCCTATAAGGACAGGAAAAAATCAAGGCACAGATATCAGTGTGATTTCTTCTCCTTAGGAGACCAAAGCAACCAATGTATTACCTTCCTTGCATCACAAACTAAGCATGCAATGTCCACATCAGGCTTTTTTAAATCAAATTAATTAATCCTAGAAAACAATCCTTAACAGTGACTAGTAATGAATTCTAAAAGTCTTTAAAATTCTTTCTGGCTTTCCAAACACGTTAACCTCAAATCCTTTTTTCACAAAACATTCCCTATCCACTGAGATGTTATATGCAAAAAATATCTGTTTACTCTGTAGCTGACTTGTAAAATGTCATCAAATCCACTTCCTACTTCATCATATTTCAGACTGTAACATTACTAAAGTCAACCTTCTCTTATGCCTATTGAGATGAATGACAACATATTTTTGGTTCACATTCAACATTGATTATACAGGCTTAGTATTTAAAAGTGTTTATATGAGATGACGAAGTATATAGATTAAAGTACCTGACAAGTACCAGACAATCAGCTCTACCACCCCGCCTTTCTACAGGTAAAGCTGCACCATTTAATTTTAACAGTCTCATTTGTTCCTGCCTTAGCAGTGCAGTACCTGGGTTTGATTTTAGGGGAGGTCGGGAAAGGTAGCTATTCACAGAGACAGCGGTGTTTGCGGACATGACTGTTTATCTTTCATTATCACTAAGAACAATTCCCACCCAGGAATTTCAGCAATACAAGGCCAGAGAAGAGGACTCAGTGTGCTCTTAGTTTAGCCATGCACTCACTCTTCAGTTGCAAAAACCCAGCACTTCTCTTTCTCAAGATACTGCCTTCGCTGTTGATTGCTGCTCTTTAGAGGGTAGCATCCACCAGATGGGGAGACCGATGTGATTTAGTATTTTTTGCACAGTAAATTTAGACCTACCAGGCAAAAAAAGGGCTCTGGTAAAAGGAAGAATGAAAGGTTACTACAACATATGCCTATTCAAGGGAGAAAAGCTAATGAGGGAGGGAACACAGAACTGATGCTTGACTTGCAGCCACAAAACCAATATTGAACTGAGAAGGAAAAACACAGTTAATGCTCATTCTCTTTTTATCATTTTCATTATTGGCTTTCCTCTTCATGTCTGACTCTCTCTAGCAACTATTTAACCCCTGAGGTGTCCCATCCACTCCATTCAAGACTTGAATTCAAGAAAAAGAAGAAACTCTGAATGTATCTCAAATGTAATGCTGGCACCAAACCACAGCTATTCTGATCTTGAATGTAGCTGTGCAAAGAACAGCTTATGGCTGACAACGAGGTTCAAAGGTAGATCTGCAATTCAGACAGCTCAGCACTCAGCAGAAGCCAACATCCTTTTCTGCACTTTCTGCCTTACGCAAACAATATTGTACATACAGAGAAACAGCTATTTTATCTGTGTTCAGTAAAAAAAAAATCCCAACTTTTGAGCATTCCTGAACTTCTTAAGCAGAGTGGGGCCCACAGAGCTGCTTGTCACAGCAGATTTATTTGATTTAAAGGTGAAGGCAAATCTGATGTCTTGGGAACCACTCCCAGTTAATGAGATACAAAAATTTCCTAAGAAGGTTGAATCACTGACAGAAAAGATCTTCTCCAAACAGGAAGACAACAATTGAAAAATAGATCTGAAATAATAGAACAGGAATATTTTCTGGGCTCTGCCTGTCTCATCCAACTAAAGGATATCTCTGCAGCATAACTGTGCTGTTGCCTAACAGAGCTCAAATTTTCAGTAGGCACATGGATTTTTCCGAAATAAAAATCGTAGCTTCTCAAAAGGTATTCAGCAGGGTAGCTAAGTAGCTACATAGTCTGAACTGGAAAGAGTACATAGCTCGTTATATTATTATTAATTAACCTTTGAGATACCCCATGTGAGGTGAGATCGTGTCCTGTGAAACGCTTACCAAACCAAATTCCCAGACACAAAAGACTGAAACCTTTGTACATAAGTATTATCAGATGAAGTAGGTTTTATAAAGAAATAATTCTGCACCAAGCACCCTGATGCTCAACTAAGGCAATGTAGTTTTAAGGGTAGTTAGGATCAAGCAATTGTGAGAAGACCATGGCATATGGACAAAGAAAATAAGGCAATAAGGACAAAGAAAATACCTGTACAGTTTCAGCTTATCTTTCTTCCAGTCTGGCCTTTGAGGCTGAATGTTTTTGGGTTTTTTTTGAGGTTTTTGTTTGGAGTTTTTTTGTTTGTTTAGGAACATGAAAGCCATATTGCATCTATGTTTTAAGCAAATGCTGCATTTCATTGTCCTAAGCAAGAGGTGCCAAACCTTTGTGTTTTGCGTAGCTACTCCAGCAGTCCTACCCCAGGCTTCTGACTTTCCTGTTCCTTATTTTGCAATTAATTCAGAGTAACTTTGGTCAGTTACTTCTACTAGCTTAATCCATACTTTGTCCTAAAAGGGTCTGTATCCATCTAGTGTTAATATTAATGAACGTTTCTCTTGTCGTGATCATCCAATAAACATTCCACTTACTTTTCTCCTGATGACAAAGCTTTTCTTGAGGACCCTTTAGAAAAGGGTGCCTAGATTCAAGCACTCATCTGTTAATTGCTATAAGCACTTTACATGTTTTTAAAAGCCAAGCTGTTTATAGGAGAAACAAATCCAGAATTCATCACAATATTATGTGGCCTCTGTGAAGATTTTTTTTTTTTTTGTCCTGGAAAACCTTCTGATACGCTACTGTCAAGAGAACATAGTTTAAACAATGTACACACATCTCTTCAAAACAGTTTATCAGATCTTTCCCCAAGGCTGAAACAACTGGCCAAATTTTAGCCTAGAGTGAGTGATGATGAATGAACACCATGCCTCAGATAGCACAACCTTGCTAAGTGGAAGCGCTAACACATCCTGCACTGGAGAGGTTTCGGGGGTGTTAAATACCACAGCAGCTGCAGATGCTGCTGAACGCTTCCAAACCAGTTACATGAGTTTTCTGCCTCAGTAATGCTTCTACGACTCAAGAGTGGAAGCCTTTCTTCAGTGGGTATCCACTGGAAAACAATCTGCATCTCAACTAACTCAGGGCTAATCTTGCTATGCCTGACTTGCTGGGATGATCTAGTAAAATTGGTTGCTAAAAATCAGTCATTTACAATGTATTAGGAAAACTTTTTGGATCTACAAGAGGATGAAATACACTTTTTAGACATCTGGTTTTGCCCAGCTCTCAGGTTACTAAACCCTCATTCAGTATGGCCAGTGTGCAGCTTCCTGTCATTTTATGCTGCTGTGCTGTGGACTACAAGGTTTATATCTCAATCCTGTTGGCAGTAACAAGTAACATTAATTCAGTGCACATTTGCCCTGAACATTCTTCAGCCAAGGTGCATGAGGGTTAAAGCCACTTGCCTTTTCACAATGCCTAGTTTTCATTACTCCTTCTCCAGCTCACTTCACATCCAGAAATCCTTTACAGTTAGCTTCGCTACTTGAGGACTTCTCAAGTGCCATCCTGCACCCTGCCAGCAGCAACAAATCACTTTCTTGTTCAAAATACAGATATTCAGCCACTAGGTTTTGATCTATCATATTCTTTATGATCCCTTCTGAATTATTTCTGCTTTGGTTGAGGTCTTCAGGACAATCCAAACCATCAAGTGCAAACCAAGACCTATACCTCAGAGGACTCTCCCTAAACTAAGTTTGAGTAAACTGAACTAATTGTTTTAAATACCCTGGTTTTGTTTAGCTAGAAGTGTTAAAACCAACCCAAATAATATTGAACATTATTACTCTTACTTTGTATACAAATTCTTAAAAGGAATTGAATGAATTGACAGCAATTTCTTGTCAAAAGAAATATTAAATATATGTGTAACTGTCACTGCCTATAAATTCTGTTGAATCAACTGGCACTTGCATTTGCAGTAGAAACAAAGAACATCAGTTATCAATTTACAACAATAGACAATCTCTTCTGACTTTCCTATTTATCTTCAAGCCACACTGGCAAATCTAAAATAGGTTCTCAGATTAAATCTCCTTTGAAAACCATAGAGAGAAAAATTTAGATAAAAAAAAGAAGTAATAGTATATACTTATTTACCAAACACTTCCAGAGCCTTAGAACTGCAGAAT